TACGGGGAACCATGCAAAAAACGCATCTTCGCACGGGCAGCCCGTGCGTTGGCCAATTTTTTAATCACGCAACGAGCGATCTCGCAGGGCCACTGTCAGCCCCCTTTCCTACGACTAGCTTTTTTGGGAGGGTGAGGACATCGGTACCCCACCTTCTCCGGGGAGTATAGTTTTTGGAACTCGTGTCATTTTTTGGTTGCTCATTTGCTAGGAAAGATCGCATTTTTCGAATGAGGTCTATTTTTGTGTCCATTTGCTTGTTTGTAAATGCAAATTTCGAGAGTTCATTGCAATGGGCTCTCCCGGAGCCTGAAGTTTTTGGTGGCATTTCAAAAATGTCCCACTCTAACGAGCTTACACAGATGTGGTCGAATCATCGTATGTCTTTGTTTGCATGTATTTCGGTTTCACGTAACGCTGTTAAAATGTCTTACAGTGCCCTTTCCGGGGATAGGACCTCAAGTCTTGCGCATGCTTGAGAATGCTTGCTCTCCAAGATGAGACGAATGTTTAGTTGCAGTTTGTGAAGTGGGCAATGCGAGACGAGAACGGCTCGCTGGATCATCTGCCGCAGTACTTTTTCGAAGCCCTCGCAGCACCGAAGTGGACGGAGCGACGCGACATCTTGCAAGAGGTCGTGAACATAGTTCTCAAACGTCCACGCCTCGATCCAAATTTAAACTACATCGATCTTCTCGGCACATTGAAAGGGGTTTGTGTCCTTTTTCACTTCATTTTACGCTTTAGCTGTGGTACTGAAAAGGAACATGCGCGACTTAACAGGACGAAGTATTTCTCTACAGCTCCATTTTTCTCTTTTTTGCTCTGAATTGCTTATTTTATAAAAGTAGGGAAAAAATTTGAAGCAAAAAGCATTTTTGCTCATATTGTGCTTCCTACTTAATAAATCTTCTGTAATTTTTTTGGTTTATAAATGTTTAGTTTTCTTCCTTAAATTGTATCTCTTACTGAGTATACTGCTCGCTCCTCAACGCATTTTCCTCATTGGCCCACAGACACTACTAAGTGGTAGAGAAGTACTGCATTTGATAAACACACTCTCATGCGCATTTTGAATTGCAAATCAGCATAGCTTGTTTAATCAAATTTAAACACACTGGAAATCGTTCTACAAGCGCTTACCCAGCGAGGCTGGTCCTTTGCTTGTGGAGTAGCTTTTGCCAAAGCCAAACTCCGACTGCTGCTTCAGGTGATTGAAAAGGATTCAAACGTTATGGTAGTGTCACTGGCTCTTCGGGCTATCACTGCTATTGGTGAACGATTAAACAGAAATTTTTCCAAATATGTGCCACTGGTACGTCCATGTTTTCGAAAAATTTCTTAATATTGTTTGATTTTGTATCCTTCCAAATTAAAAAAAAAAAGATATTTTTCTATTACTGTTCGGAAAAGCAGCTGCTGAGCTTCACTTCCGCCCATCCTGCTATGTTCGACTCCACTCTGTCCCGTTTCATTTTTCAACATATCCTATAATACCCGCAACATATCAATTCCCTAATTCTCTCCTGAGGCGACTACTATGAGATATTCACATCCCGAACAGCGTACAAGCAGGCATGGTGCTATGGGAAGTAGCACTCTTGTCGCGCATGAAATCAAGGGTTTTGCTGTGTTTGTGGGACAACCAACTGTCGCGGAAAAACTAGCTAAAAGCTGGCCAAGAAGCCGCCACAAGAAAAAAAGAATGGTGCATCCTGTCTTAAAAGGCAGATACACAGCAGATGTGTTGCCAGGCTGAACCTGAAGTGTAGGAACCGGTGGTGAAATGGTAACGTGTTGCGTCCAGACGTGAAGGGAAGTGGTTCGTTTCCCTGCTGGTCCAGAGCAATTTTCGAGAATGTTAGCTCTGCTCACGACATCAGTCATTCTATGATTCGTCCATTCGTTTCAATGGCAAAATGGTACTGGCATACGTCAAGGTGGTGTCAAACCTGCCATCAAATTGCTTATAAGCAATTTTGTAAGGGGAACTTTCACAGTCTTGTCGGTGGTTATTCGATTAGTTACCCGACATACTACTATTCGGATTACAACTCGACATAAAAAGCGATTGCGGAGAAGCTTTTTGACTTTTAAAATTATGTACCAGACAAAACTTGTATTTATCGCAAGGGATTTTTGCAAAGCATACCATCTCTCCCCTTCTTAATATATCTGCAGGCGCCCCGAATTCTCTAACCAAATCGTAGTCACAGGTAAATTCCAGCAGTATGAACATTTTAAAATTTCGCTTCTACATATTTCATAGCTACAAAGGCTG